CTAATCACACCTATTTGTTTTTTTGAACCAGGCTGTAAACATGTTCATCTCTGCTGTAAAAACAGGCTTTTTTGAATGGGTGTGTATGTGACTTCCTGTGCTTCTGCAGCCAGCCTCTAGTGGACACTCCAGGAACTGCAGGGTTTTTCACTTCAGCATCGGCTCCTCTGATTCTGTAAGGAGCCAACAAAAGGCAGAAGCAAACACTTAGTGTTGATTTTGGTTTCTTATTAACTTCTTCATCCGCAGAGGTTCAGGTTGTTAAAGAGTAAATCTTCTGACCCATCACTCACAGTTACAGAGTTTATTACTGAAGGACATCACTGTTCACATCCAGCCATCAGTGACTCTAACAGACGAGACATTTATACAAACATGACATTTAAACGGTGCAGGAGATACGATAGGACAAGTACAAATAATTCAGGGATTTGTTTAGAAAAATCAGTTTAGCTTTCTCTGTCTGAATTCAACTTTTGAGGATTTCACTTATTTGCCGAATGTTGTGCATGATGCAGAAGCTTTCAACAGCAGTGATGCTAAGTTTCAGTTTGCAGAACTTTAACATGAACTGTAGTTAGACTTGGGGTACATGAAGCAAACACTTTGAGCCACATTTTCTTCAGTCTGTCGATGATGATGTCCTGCTGGCCAGCATGGAGAGAGGCACGTTGAAGTCTTACTGCCCCCCCCCCCCCCCCCCCCCAAGGTCAAGGGCAGGGAGGGATCATGAGGTATTTTTAGCACCTTGACTCTAAGAAGAGCAAACATAGGTGACCATCCACTTCTTCTTCTGCTCACTGAAGAGCTAAAAATAACCCATCGGCTGTCATTAAATAAAATCTTTACTGGGGCAGCTCCGCCTCGCTTCCAGACATGTTCTTGTTTTAATTATAGAAACCTAATGAGCACAATGCCTCATGTACAATCTGTACACCTACTTCTGAAAAAAACCCTTTCACTCGATATTCTCCACATGGACATTTCTTAAAAGACCTCCACTTTTGATTCCTGGTAATTACGTCTAGACGTCGCTTTAAAAAGGAGCTCTGAACCGCAGGATTTAAGTTAACATTCAAATTACTGAGCTTTACATCCACCTCCTCCTAAACCCTAAAAAGTACACATGAAGACAGAAAAAAACAGTTTCTATACGTTGAAGAAAATAGCAGCACCCAGTTTAGCCTTCATGCCCACCCAGTATTTCAACATCTTCTGCAACTAGCTGCTTTTTTTTTTCCCCATCCGCCTCGTCCAGTCTTGTTTTCGTCCAGGACTCGGGGTCACGTCCACCTATAAGTCATGTTCCCGTCAGAGCTGCCGGCTGAGCTTCTGTGCCTGCCTCTCCTTGGCGTTGAAGGCGTACTTTGTGTCCTGCAGCTGATCTATCATTTCCTTGGCCTCCTTCATCTCCACGGTGAGCTGGTTGTATTTCTCCACCAGCTCCTGGTTCTCCCGCCGGAGCTCCACCACCAGCTGGCTCAGCTCCTCGCTCTGCTTTCCGCAGTGCAGCTTGAGCTGCTCCATCTCTGAGAGCGTCTCCTCCATGTGCTTCACCAGGCTCTCCAGCTTGTCTTTAGACATCTCTGATGTGTTGTGATTCTCCTGTATTGGAGCTGTCTTCTTCTTCCTGTGTTGTTGAGGGTTCTGCGCTTGCTGCCTGTCCTGTCTGGAGCGATTATCGAAGTCTTACAAGTCTCAAATGGAACAGATCTCCCTGCACAGTAATCCCCTTAGAGGAGCTATCCTGGGAAACCTCCAACGCACATAGGTGTGACACACCGCCGTAATGTCTCCAGCTTAAGTCCCCTCCATGCAGAGGATGAAATTGACGGATTACCCGTGCAGTTTCATCCGCTTGTCAGTGAACAAGCTTAAAAAACCTGCAAAGAATTTTGACGTCTAAATTACATTTTGCAAAAGGAGAAACAAAAACAAAAGATTCCGATTTTTCTTTCAACATCACGGGGGGAAACTTGACAAGGGTTCAATCTCTTCTTGGAAAGCCACCCAAACAGCTTTAAGTGGATGGTGTAACTTAATCTGAGCAGAACAAGTGTCTGGAACAGATGCAGGGGAAGCCTTGTGGAATTAATTGTGTAGTTGTTCAGCAGCGCAGCAACACGGCTCACATGCCAGGATGAGGCCTCAGCAGAGGGCTCGTTAGGTAAGTCACAGTGTGAGGCTAAACATTCTGGGTGAGCTGCCATACCGTGCCACTGTCCCAGCCAGCCGGGCCAAACGGTCCCCATGGCGACGGCTAATGCGTCCAGCAGGCCAGACGTACGAGCCAACTGCGCCCGGCGGGCCAGTTGGCAACGGAGGACAGGGCGAGCGCGGGATGCCAAGCGCATCAGTACGCCGAGGAATTTCCACAATGTTCCCACCGTCTGCAGAAATGCTTTGCGTCAGACTCCGGGGATGATGATTCGTTCACAGATAATCAGTCAGCAGTATTTTGTAAAAAAAACAAAAAAACAGGCCGCTCCCGGGGGTATTTGACCTCCGTTTGTAACGGGGAAAACTGGGAGTTCAGAGCTGTTTTGCATAAAATCTCACACTCTGGGTTTTGTCAGTTTTCTCGTTGTTGTGCATCAGTGATGCAACCCAAGAGATTCAAAAACTTTGCAACTTCCTGTACCCGTACTTTGAGTATTTCTATTTTACCGCCAAAAATATGACCACACCATAATCTCACATTTCAGGTAAATGTTCGACTTTTTATTCCGTCTGATTCCCTATGAATATAAAATACTATAAAAGAGCCTGATCTTCAACACACGATGACGCTCATGAGTGAACGCTCTTGTGTTTATTATTATCGACTCACCGTCCCATCCTGTTACACAGTCTGGAACATTACGTGGTTTTTAATCCTATTGGTCAGATCAACAATGAATCCTGTTTTTAATGCCAAAGTTAGACATAGATCAACAGAAGCTTCTGAACCTGGATCAGTTCTATAAACCTTATATACAGGTCGTCTAGGTCAATGACCCCGATAAAGCACCAACCTCTAGTGGGAACCATCAATCCATCTGAAAATATCAACAATTTAATAAATACTTAACCGGCTTTCAACATACTTAACTGTATTTGATCATGTCTATAAACCCCTCTATTTCAGCCCTGCTCAGAACAGGCTGTTTCTGTGTCTGTAACTTTAAATATGTAAATGAGCTGTGTCTGACCACGCCCCCTCTCTGGAAGGGCTTGGGTGTACTCGGTGCTTTCTCGCTCCATGTCCTATTGTTTACGGTGAGAAGGCAGACTCAGAGGGCAGAACAAACACCTAGCTGTGGGAGTGTCACCCACCTGGGGGAGGGGCTACTGCCCTTTGTGATGTCATGAAGGGAAAATCTCCAAACAGCCTGTTTGAGCACACATTTTCTGAAAAGTGGAGCAGGGAGAAGACGGAGAGGATGGACTTTTCTCATCATTGGGGGGTTTGTAGACGGACTAGAGACACATGTTAGAGTTAGAGGAACATGGGAAGAGTGTTTTATAGATGTTGATCGACCTCGGCATGTAGGAGGGTTTGCCTCTTCTGTCCACTATAAGCTACCAGTGTCTGTTTGTTAAGACAATTCTTTTTAACATATTGACCTGATGACGCTCTAAACGACCATTAAAATCCTTTTTATTTTTTTTATGTCAGTGTGCAGGTTTCCATTCTGGTTCCCAGTAGTCGTGTATCTACATGGGATGTGTGTGTGCTCACCTTGTACCAGACACTCCCATATTATGTAAAACTCTAAAGCGGGCCACCATAGCTGAAAGGAAATGAAGAGACACTTGAGAATTTGCACAGAAAGAATTTTGAGTTTCATTATTTATTAAAAAAACAAAATCTGAATTGCATAAACACACAAATGCAAGTGAAGGACAGAAAAAAAAGCCAATCACCCAACATATTCCCCAAAAATTAAGGGTACACTCCAGCACAATTGTTACCGTATTGTTCCCACTTTGTTTCTTCTCTGCGAGCGTTAACCTCGAGTGCAACTACAACCAAAGAGCAATCAGTGCAGCTCCTCCCCGATCGATCAAACATGAACGAGAAGCCACAGAGTTCTTATCTTTTCTCACAGAACCAAAACTGTTATTTTAAACCTCATTGAAGCGTTTTGGTTTGTTTTTAACTTGATTCAAACGCAGTTAGGCAAATAAAGCTCGATCTGTCTTCAGGATCAAATTGAACTTCAGCTACATTCATCACAACTCAGAGTTTTTATTCCTTATTCTAAACTTTGGCAGCATTTCTGTCAAAGATGATTTTTTCTGATCCGTGTAGAAACCCCCGTCAAACATTTACCACCATGTTTCAAAAAGTACAAAGTTTATCGTATGCATATCTTGAAAAAGGAAAAAACGAGTATCTGTGTGTAGTGGAAATCGTTTTCAGGTTTGATGTAGCATAGTTCAAGACAGCACCAGGCAAGCGTCATGAGGGCGGCTGTAGCCTAAAGGTTCAGAGTTTGTGACCAGATGATCACATGGTTACAATCCCTGTAGGAGAAGGTCGTAAAAAAAACAACAACACAGTGCGGGAAGAAAAATGAAAAGCACAATTCTGTCACACGATAAGGACGACGACTAAAAATGCCCTTGAGCAAGGCACTGAACCTCCGACTGCTCCAGCAGAACTGCTCAGTGGCTGACAGTACACGGCTGACACGGCAGGCAAGTCTCAGGTGTGTGTGTGTGTGTGTGTGTGTGTGTGTGTGTGTGTGTGTGTGTGTGAGAACTTTTCTCCCTCTGCACGCTGTGTTCAAACATGCCTTTGGGTTAAAATACAAGACAATGTGTGAAATCTCTGATGAGTCGGCATCACAATAACACTCATATTTTACTCCAGAGACGTAAATCTTTCCACATTTCTGACCGTGAGAACATTATTTTTTGGGGGGAGTTTAAACTGGTTTCATGTGTCTTAAGTGGGGGGAAAAAACACGTCTTCATTTTTTTTGACAGCAGTGAGAAAAGCACGTCTGGTGACTGACAGGTCAAACACAATCAAACTACACATCTATTATCAGAATCATCTTACAGTGTCCTTTAGAGCGGTGAAGGCTTTCAACTCTCGGTTTTTAGTTTGGGGGGGGTGCAGTGGTTGTAAAAATTAAGATTTAAAGTCTTCGGAGTGGGAGATTTGAAAGAAATCATCTCCCGTTGCTCAACAGCTTCCGCCGAGGTGTCCCTGAGCAAGGCACCGGCTGTACAGCCTGAGCTGGAGAAGACTGCGGGAAGCTTCCCCGGTATGAATGTGAAGCAGGGCGCTGCAGAGAAAAACAAGAAGCAGACGAGCTTCCCTGTTGAAATAAAAAGATTCCCGCTGGCTTCTCGTCGTTTGGATTGAGCCTGAGACCGGCCGCTGATCGGCAATTTGAAGATGAGCCCCCCCCCCCCGAGTCGAGCGGGGAAAATGTAACTTCTTGGTTTAAAACGCAAATAAAATATATAAGAACAGCTGCTGTCGTAAGGGGAAACCCTCCCTTGGCGCCGGGGGAAAGAAAAGGCTGAACAAAAACAACTTGTGTCCCGTCATCATGAGTTCTTTAGGAAGGGGATGTGGGGGCGGGAGAGGCCCCTGCATCGCCCCTTTTGTTCCCTGGCTGTGAAGGGACCGCCGTGGTCGTGTTGTTGGCCGGAGGGCTATGTGGGTGAGAGTTACCAGGGCAGCGTCCTGCTAAATGTAGAACTGGTGGAGCGCCAGCCTGTCCATGAAGGGCTGCACCAAGTTGTCCGTGGCGAAGTAGAAGACGAGGCCGAAGAAGATGGAGATGGGCAGAGCGGGGAGCGCTTTCTTGAAGATGGCGAGGAGGAGCAGGGTCAGACACAGGCCCTGTGGAGGCAGACAGCACTTTGAGTGATTGTGTACCAAACAACACGAGCTCAGTGAGGGGTTGAAAAACACCACAGGTTATATAATCAAGTGGTCGACATAACGTTTGGTTTCATATCGTGCTGAGAGAAACAGAGACTAAGTTGCGGTGATTTCGAGCCCCGACACAAAAATAAGCAGCTTGTGGTCACTCACAATGAGGATGGCAACGAAGCAGGCGAGCGTGGTGTTCCAGTCGCCGCTGGCCGAGGCCTTCCCCACCAGCATGCTGTAGAAATGAAGTCTCCGAGTCCCAGCTTCACGCCCCCTGAAAAACACAGAAGAACACCACACTCAGGGTGGAGATCCGCTTCAGCGCCGCACCCTCTCTCTCCCCCCCCCCATAGGAATCATTCCTCGACTGTAATTACTGTACAAACAAGAGCTCAGACCCGTTATTTACCCGAGCTTTAGGTTAGGTGGAGAGCGCGGGCACCTAAATAGTACGGACATGAAACCTAGCAATTGCCGTGAATAATCGCTTCCTAATCTGCTCCGACTAAAAAAACGGAGGGGAAATCACACTCAGGAAGAGGAACGCATGAAATCTTTCCCAAAAAGTTAAAAGTGGAGTGAGGAGGAACTGAAAGATGATGATGATTACACAGTGAGGAGGAGGCAGTCGAGACAATCAGAGTGTCTGAATTACAGAGTGTTATATTAGGGCGCGGTGGGAAATCTAAAATCATCATGATGCAGTTTGTTATTTAATGGTGGAATAATAATCGGCTGGCGTTTCTCTCCAACACACAGATACAAGACAACAGAGAATAAAGAGACATGTGGACAAACAGAAAACAACAGTCTAAAGGTTGTTGATACTTCAATTTGTTACAGTTTGACTTTGAGATGTGATGATCCTTTAATATTTTGTTTTAGGGGTACCAGCCAGGTCTCTCTCCTGGCATTTAAGATAAGTTGGTTGTTTTTGTCGTTTTAAGTTTTAGTTGAGTTTTTTGTTTGGAATATTTGAATCAAAACGTCACACAAGGTTTATACACAAAAAGTGTACACCCTTACATTAAATGACAAAACCCCCACAAATAAAAACTCCACAACCAAGTGAAATAAACGATCCATGGTATCAAAAAGAGCCATAGATTTTTAAAAAATCATCACCACAGCCCACTTACTCTTCAGGAGTTTTCCTGAAAGTTTCCTTCTGCGTTCACAGATGGCTTAACTCGACTTCATGCGGAAATTTTAGTGGTCAAGTTGGAGTGCAAAATGCAGCTCATCCTGAACATTTCCACGAGTTTTGTGCATGTGGGAAAACACCGTAACACACGAGAAGTAAACAAACATAACGATTGAAAAGCCGGAGGGGAGAAACTCCTGCAAGTTCAATTGTTGGCCTTTTTATTCAATAAGACAGCTGAAGAGAGAGAGGTCATTTCTGAGGAGTGAGCGGTTCAGTGGTTTTAAGAGACTGATGTTTGTCTGTTTCTGGTTAAACAAACAAAACGGCCCTCTCTCTCTCTTTCAGGATTATTTTTTGTTATGAAGTCAGAAAATCCAAATAACAAATTTTGCCTGTTAGTGAAAAATCAACTCTTTTAGTGGAGGTCCTTTAGGTTGGCCTTTCGCCTCAGAGGATTAAAACTCTTTGTACCTTATGGTCATTAAGACCTGATATGTAATGATTTCAGCCTAAGTTTAAAAATACAGGATAATTGAATAATGGATCCCATTATGATTAGAGACAGACCTCCAGAGACTCTGCAGTTTCCCTTTGATCAAAGGAATATTTAAACTCACTGCTTTGACTTATTTCTTATGAATCAAGGTTAAATGAAACTGCATCCATACAACACTTTGATGACACAAAATGGAGGCTTAAATGATAATAAAACCCTTCATTCAGAGAGAGAGGTAGGTGTCTTCTGCTCCAGGCTGTTAAATAAATCATCATGAAGCACTATGATAAATAATTAACCGTCCCTCCTTCGCTCTCTCTTGTTGCTGTTAAGAGAGACATGATGATGTTTTTAAGAGCTGCTGTCGTTGGAGGTGATCTAACTACTTCAGAGGTTGAATTAAATTTCCCAGAGTTAATTAAATCTGATGCCTCTTCATGCATCATTACTTTAAACCAGAGACTCATTAAAGCAGAGGCCATGCCGGACACTGAAGCTTCACTGACAACAAAAACTTCTATCACAGCTACCTTGTTTAAAGCGTGGCGCCCACAGAGATAAATGTGACACATATGTTAAAACATCCTGCAGCGATCACTCACTCTCCTCGTCGTCGTCATCAACAGGAGGACGAGCTGACGGCATCTGCTGGATCTCCCGCCTGGTGTCCTCGGTGGACTGGATCGGCCCCAGTTGGTGCTGCTGCTGGTTGACCCAGGAGGGGTTGAAGCCTCCGTCGTCCTGCGACAGAACGGAGGGAGCCGGGGACGTGACGCCTGTAGACGAGTGACACCAGTCAGACTAAACAATGAACATAACACACGCTTATTGGAAAAGTAAACATCCACCTCGCTCACCTTCGGGGGCCTCTTGCTGAGCTGTTGCTGCTTCTGTCGAGTTCCTCTTGGGCCACTCCGTGTCGGCCATGTTGACGAGCCACACCATCGTAGCTGGAGAGGAATTAAAACATGCAGATTTGTGTTACAAGCAGAATGTTTCATGAGCTTCCTGCAGGTGTGACATAGTGACATATTGCACGGCCCCATGGCGCCTGCTACATCACCTGTCAGAATAGTAACAGCACAAATATATGTTTTTTAGGTCTGAGGGACCCTGAATCTATCAAAGTTTAAAGAATGTAAATTTGTATTTCTGTATTCTGTCTTACAGGAGTAGATGAGCGCTGGAAAGATGGGTTCATTCCTCTCCTGAGCCGTCTCCACCAGGATCCTCAGCGGCCCTTTGGGACAGAGCACGGCTAACAGATCTGAGAGAAAGAAGAGGAAGAAGAAAGAGACCAGACGACAGATGTTAGACAGCAAACAGAAAGCAGCTCCCTGACACGACGTCTGTGATAACAACAGCTGGCTCTCATAGAGAAGAGAGTCAGGCGAGACATTTGTTTACAATAAAAAAATATTTAGAGGACAGAAAAAATAAACACAGATCAGGGACGGGCAAAGTCAAGCAGGCCACATTCATTTAATCATCACTGCTAAACATGCTGTGTTGAAGTGCTGGCTTCTCTGACAACAATGCAGCAGCCAGTATGTCCTCCTTCTAACTTTAGATTCTGCTCCTGAATGCTCTGGATTTGTTTGGACCAGAGAAGGTAGGCACTTTTAAGACGACCCCCCCCACACGGCCGTTTTGGACGCCCCTCGGTTTGCCAGATATGAGAGCAGTTATCAGGTCAACAGGTGCTGCAGTGATGGAAGCGGGCAAGAGAAGTGGTTCAGATAGAAGTGATTGTACCCGACGGGGAGACAGCTATACGATGTTTAGAATTCAGACTGCAGTACCCATTTTAAACACTAGGTGTCAGAGTTACATACTGCTCCTTTAAAACATTTATAATCGGCCTTAACCCGACCTCTCTCGTCTTCCTGTTTCTCAGAGATCCGTATTTAAACAGACATTTACTGGAAGCGTTTGAGATATCAAGAAAAACATCCTTCCTTCTGCTTCTTTTGGCACAGTCAGAAAGAGGAAGTGACATCACAACAAATCATGAGAGACATTTGATTCTCAAGTAAAACACTTTCCATCTTGTGTTTCAGCTTCAAAGAAGGTTAAACATTCTTTATTTTTAGCTTCCTTCTTTAACACTAAAAGGAACCAGATGTTTGAACAACACAACCTCTTCGGGGTTGCTTCCTTAATAGTCCACAGAGCAAAAAGAGAGAGAGAGAGGGGCTTTACCGTAGACAGAGATGACGGCTAAAATGAGCCAGGCGGTCCACTCTGGCAGGTACTTGATGAAAACCAGAGCCATGAGTGCGCTGATCATGATGAGGTAGGCCTGCTGGAGCCGCAGAGGTCCTTTCCAGTGAATACACATCATGCCCACCACTCCGAAGTTCCAGATGATTACCGCCAGGGTGAAGTAGTCCATGGCCACATTGTAGGTCTTGAAAACCTCCCTGTTGGACGGAGCAGAAGAATCACAGACACACCTGGAAAGACTCCATCCATCTTGACATTTATGAGCGTGGGAAACTTGGAGACGGGTTTTTTAGAGGGGCTTACTTGAGGTAGATGTAGGAGAAGAAGAAGAGCAGCAGGAGGGAGGAGAGGAAGAGCCAGCCTTGGATCACCTGTGAAAGAGAAGATTTAAGAGTCATGGGATTTAAATGTACAGCACCGTCATCAGAAAACAGAACTTGCTGCAAGAGTTTGCTCGGTAGGGTGCGGTCAAAACAAAGGTAGCGACCCCGCCCTGGCAGAGGTTAAAGTATGGACGATATCAAAATCCATTATCCCTAATGTGCTCAGTCTGCTGACTCGGCTGTCCTATGATGTTTTCACACTTGCACAAAACTGCTGAACTGCTGAATTTTTAACCTTGACTTTACTTTGCCGGCCGGCTGGTAAAAGTTATGCATGAAGTCGGGTGAGCCATGCGAGAACACAGCAGGTCAAATTCACAGCGAGCAGACGAGGAGGATGAAGTTTGTATCACACGACCAGCAGCTTTATACTCTTTCCTGCTCACCAGTTTGCTCCTTAACACTCATTTGTCAATGCTGTGAATACACTGAATTGCATGTAGCACTGATTTAAAAAAAAAAAACGGTCATTGTAGCACCATCTTTGATATCCCCCCTCCCGTCGATCAGGAAAAACTCCACGCTGTGAGGGACTATTACGTTCCCTGAAGATGTTTAAGGGATGAGGGAGGAACAAACATGTGAATAAGCAACTCAGAAACATTTGGGGCAAGCTGTCTGAAAAGTTTCAATACTTTTTAGGAGTGAATGTGTGAAAAACCAGAAGTGCCAAAAACTGCAGTTCCTCGAGCGGCCACTAGAGGGTCACTCAAAAAGAGAGTCATTCCCCATTGACCCCTATGTTTAAAAATTACAACATTAACCCATTTAGATCAGGACGCATAGGGATTAAGCTTTCACATATTTTTAAGTTTCACGTCTCGTTCGGTCACAGAGAATCTGAATTAAAGATTTTAGTAAACGTTGAAATCCTTCAGATTCTGCGAGACTTCGTTTTTACAGAGTGTGTTTGTTTTAGGCGTCCTTCTGTCTAAATGAGTGTGAGAACAGACGTGTTTACAGCCTGAATCAAATATGGTTTTGGTCTCTTTTTTCCAAGAGTTGTTTATAACTCATGCTTTTTAAATTATATATTATAACACTTTAATTTATGCATAAACTTTGTGGGAGCTGTTAGCTGAGTCCGTCACACTTTTCAGTCCCTTTTTAGAAATCTTTGAAGCAAATATTGGAAACAAACATTTGCCTTTATTGTCCTTGCAGACCATACAAAGATCCACTGCAGCCCCCCCCCCTGATCTCTCTCCTCAAACACATCTGTGACTCTCCCGACCTGCCATGACTCAAATCCCTGATCAAAACACACCTTTCCAGAGCTGCTTTCAACAGCTCATCTTAATGTCTCTGTTTCCTTTCACTTGTTCTGTCTGAATGTAACTCTTATTTTTAAGAGGTCTGTCCTACGGTGTTTTTGTCATATGGCTACATGGAGGAAGGAAGGGAGTGTTGTTAAAGGCAAAGTGGCTCCTCTTTTTTGTATCTCTTTATTCTTTACTTTATTTTCTATTGTCTTGGAAAAATGGAAAGTTCAACAGTTGGAGTCACTTTCAGTTTTAGGATCGATGGACCTGAAGAGATTCTAAGAAAGTGAGGAACAAGATGACGCGACCAGTGTGTTGTCAGAGGTGTGGTAGCAGTGAGAAAATGCTTATTTTTTGCGCCCTGTTAGTGGTTATTATGGCGGTGTGAGAATGACACTTTGCCATTATGGTTAGCCGTGAGTTCTAGTGAGGTTGTAAGAACGACTAGACAGGTTTTAACGTCTCTGCTCGCCTTCTTAGCTTGTCTGCTTGGCTCGTTAAACAGCTAATTCTGAGACAATGAATTAGCCTCAGCGGCTAATGTCTAAATTTGATTATGTTTAACTTGCTTAACCTTCGCCTTTCCAGCTGATCACTCCCAGCCTAAAGAAATGTCAATTTTTTGGCTGCAAAAAACCAAGACAACAACAAGCGGCGTGCAGAAACTTGAGGCTTTACAACAGGAGTGCACAAACAGGGAAACTACATTACATTCTTTGATTTTTAACACACTTGAACGACTTTGGGGTCTCAATAATTTGATATTTAAAGCCTTTACATGTATCAGCATTTAACCTACACTCAGGTCAGAGTACGTTTACAGATCATTTCCCTGGAAGCCATTCGATTGTGTCAGCACGCAGACAGAAGAACAGGAGTTGGCAAACATTAATGGAATGAAGCCGATTAAATAGACGGTACACCTCTTTGTACGGCAAGTTGAAACATCCCTGTGAAAACTATTAGTACACAGAGTCCACTTCAACTCCAAGTATGACACAGCGTGTTCTGAACGCAACGCAGGGTTTGAAGAGCAATCAAGTACCAATTCAGTGCAACATGGTTTTTGGGGTTTACCTTGTAGCAGCGGTACTTGTACAACAGCACCAGCACCAAGGTCATGACGATGATCACAGTGATCATGATGGTGGCATTCAGGATGGAGTTGACGGCTCTCTGTCCTACTGTGTCCGTGTCCTCAGGGAACGGCGTGTAGATCCTGAAGGGGGGGGGGGGGATATCAAAGACGCACATCAATGAAAGAGCAAAGTCTGTTATGTACTGTAATAAAAATGTAGCTTTAAATCAACCTCACTCACGACAACCAAGAGATTAGTTTCATTCTTCTTTGTGAGCAGTATGTAACTCTGACACCTAGTGGTTAAAATGGGTACTGCACTCTGAATTCTAAACATTGTACAGAGCTGTCTCTAAGATACCTTTATCATTTCACTCACTACACATCTCACTGATTGGACCTTTAAGATCTAAAATGTTATGTTGATAATGTGTCCTTACCCAGATCCAGACTTTGTCTAAATGATCTTATCTAATTACAGAACTGTCTTGGTTTTTAAACCGTGTAGGAGTGTTGCACATTGCACTAACCCCCCCTAGTGGCCAAGCAGCTGTGTTACATTTAATTCAAACACCAGACAAAAAGTGAGAGTTGGATTTGAATCTGTGGCTGCAACAAACTTTTATATTTAATCATAGTTTTAATACTCACAATCTTTGCCCGTCGTTCTGAGTGTAGAAGCTGACCGATTTAATGGTTGCCACGACAACCACCATGCAGAGGGTCACAGGAACAAACAGCATGATGACGTGCTTGGCCCCGTATTTAAGAGTCAGCTCTTCGTCTTCGTCCTCCTCGGCCTCTACCACACGAGGGGGCCGAGCAGCGGCAGGGGGCTGTCCGTTCTGCTCCGGTCCACTTCCATTACTTCCCCCTCCCCCTCCTCCTCCATCACCTCCTCTGGACCGCGCCCTGACTCCCCCAGGCTCCTGTGGCTGCTGGGTGGGTTCAGGGGACACATTGGTCTCCTGCAGGTCAGGGAGGAGAATCAGAATGGTCAACTAAACGCCATCACACTCGACAGTCAACACAAGGATTATTGGTCAGTTCTCCTGAATATTTCCTGCTGCATCCTCATGTCAGTAACAAGGGGGGTGTGAAGTCCCCCTTGTGGACTTCACACCTGAAATCCACAAGGGGGCAGGACAACTTCCAGGTCCATTTGGAGTTAAAAATTCAGCTGTTTGTGTTGCACACATGTGCAGCTCGCCTCGGAAACTTCGGAAGGTTTCAGGCGTTTCAAAACAAAACTGAGCTTTAACAGCTGTGGTTCCCTACAGTCTTATAGAATATCAGTTTGAAAAGAGGATAGTCCCCCAAGCGGCTGGCCCAGGTTCAAATCCGACCTGCGGCTCCTTTCCCGCATGTCATTCCCCACTCTCTCTTTCCCTGATTTCCGACAATATCCTCTGTCCTGTCTCTCCATTAAAGGCACAAAAAATGTCCAAAAATAAATCTTAAGAAAAGGGGATAGTGCACATCTTCATTTTCAAGTGTTGTCTCTAAATTGTTTATTTGGTCAATCCAACAGTCTTAAATACAAATAATTTTTATTTAATGTCAATAGTGACACAAAAAAAGACGAAAATCCTGAAAAATTAGAAACAGGAACTAACTAAATTGTGAAGAAATATTACGAGTAGGAAAAGTTTCCTTCTGATTGTATTTAAGAATTATGAAACATTTTCTGCAGCCGTAGTTCCCAGACAAAGACAAGAGCCAATTTCACAAACTCTGCAACTCTCAAAACAAAAAAACGCTGAACGAGGACTCGTGTGAGCATGCAACAGACGTGTAATGAGTATTAAGCAAGCTGTAACTGTTTGCGTAAGGTGATGGTGCCACAAACTGCAGCCTGCAAGTAAAGGGGACTCATGTTTGTGATACTGACGGACTCAAAGCAGAGACCTTGTAGGTCACCGTTTGCCTCTTATTTAAATTTGTTTGTCTGTAAATTCTACTTTCAGAGGCCATGTGAGATACCAGAGGAGTTCCTAGAAATGCACATATATCTATAAATCAAATGAAAACGCCTCTATTTCTATAATTTTCTTTGTTTTAAATGCAAAACAAACAATGCAGACTACCATCAGACACTCCCTGTTTGCATTTCAGGGATAGATCAGCACATTCGCGCTCGTTACACCAACTCCTCCCTAACAGTGTTGGTTTTCTTTCCCTCTCACCCCGAGGAGATCTCCCATCAGAACAAAATAATCCTGGAAATCAAGGAGACTGTCTGAAGTAACGACTGTCAGGCGAGTCGAGACATGTGGCAGCAGCACAGAGATGAAGCAACCACCGGCTCTCACCAGCAGGTACACAGAAATGAAAACAGGACGAGCCTCCAGAGACTGAACAGTGAAAGCTGCCACTGCTTTTTTAACAGCCTGCTGTACAGAACGACCTCCCCCGTGAGGTACGACGTATTGTTTCTCAGTGCTGGGAATAAGGTCAGGTTGTTCCCAAGGGCACGAGGGATACTGAAGACTTTGATGAATTCAAGTTCAACACATTTCTGGTAGTAGTTCTGTTAGGTTAGGGTCGGGTTGTCACTCACAATACCAGTCATAGGCATCCAAAATGTGCTCTTTTTTTAAATTACCAACAACTGCAGACAAGCTCCTGCAAGCTGTCTAAATTGCATAAATACGCCAGCAGCTTGTGGTAAAAATATGACGATCTGTCGTATTTTAAAATGTTGGTAATTTGCGATACTATCAAACATAAAAAAATTAGAGATTGGGGGCACAGGTTTGGCTATGTGGTTAGAGCGTATGGCTCATGAACAGAGGCTGTAGTCGTCTTGCAGCAGATGTGATGCATCGTCCTCAAACACCTTCAAACTATTTCTTTTTAAAAGATTGAAAGAGACCCGCTCCCCTAGACAAAAATCCTCCAGCAGGGGCAGCAAACCATAAACTCCCCTTTTTCAGTTACCAGTCGTACTTTGGGGACAGACATCAAGAATATGTTTTGTGAC